CTCCTTTAACATGAATAGTTATAGAATTATTTTTCTCCAGGTGTCTTTTCCTTCCTGTTATTCACCTTGTGTACCATGACCTTATCCTTTGTGACCCTTAGCACACTTGGGAATTTTAAATTTATGAGTGAGGTTTGATTCATGGTTGGCTCATGTGTGCTCTCTCACACTTTGGTTGTGAACTCCATGAGGCAAGACCCACGTCTGTGTGCGTGTGTGTGCACGCGCATGTGTGTGTGTGCATATATACATATACAGGGTGTCCATAAAGTTCACGTGCAATTTAAAATACTTGGCTATATCAAATTACACAAAAACTTTATGGACACCCTTTATATTTCTGTCGTCAGTGCATGTCTGACTCCGGCATAATGATAAGTATATAGGAGGAGCTCAAAATAATTTGTTGCATGAATGATTAGGCCCCATTCAGCAATAGTCACTCTACAGCAAAGTTTACAAGGATAGTAGCACAAGAATATGATTGACAGGACACTGTTATGATGCATACAAAAGTCCTAGAGCCTAGACTTAAGATTCTAGAATACTGACAATGATCATTCCCCACTGATAGTTAAGAACTTCTAACAAGGAATTGTAGCTAAGTTTAGTACTATTCAGGGCAGGCTCCGTGAAAGCAGAAATAAACAAATGTCAACACTGTGGAGACCCCAGATGAGTGTCATTGAGCTACTTCTCAGTGATTAGAAAGAGGGTCAATTAATTATGTCAAAAAGTGAACATATGCAATTTGTTAATGGCATCTCACAAATAACTGTCTAACTAACAAATGAGAATACTGAACCCTGACATAGTTGCATAAAATTTAACTTTAATTTTGTTTTTGCATATACAAATAGATACGTGGAGAAAAGGAAATATTTCTGGATAGGAAATCAACACACAGAAAAAGCCCACAAAATAAATGTAACCATTATTTTTTAATTGAGAGGTTACACAAATTTGACTTGATGAACAAAACAATCTACACAACCATTACCACAAGGTTTTATTGATCTAAAAGTATTTGCCATGAAAGATGAGTCTCTGTATAATTGTAGTTGTAAAAATCACAGTTATGCCACAAATTATATTTATTTTCTACCTTCACAATTAAGTAATAAAAAACTTCTGGGAGTTCATGAGTCCTTTAATTATTATCGATTTCAAATTATTTCATTTTTCAAATACATTTCTTAGAAATAGAAAGTAAACTCATTTAACATGTTAATTTCCGTTACTTAAAAAAATTTTTTTTGAAACAGAGTCTCACTTGCTCACCCTTGGTAGAGTGCCAAGGCCTTGTGAGAGTGCTATGGCATCATAGCTCACAACAACCTCAAACTCTAGGGTTCAAGTGATTCTCTCACCTCAGCCTCCCAGGTAGCTGGGACTACAGGTGCCTGCTACAATGCCCAGCTATTTTTCAGAGATGGGGTCTTGCTCTTGCTCAGGTTAGTCTTGAACTAGTGAGCTCAGGTAATACACCTGTCTCAGCCGCCCAAGTGCTGGGATTACAGGGGTGAGCCACTGTACCTAGCTTCCTTAAAAATTTTTTAAATCACAGTTATAAAGACAATGGTTGAGATATAAAAATGCATTTATTTCTGGAATAACTTTTACACAGATATCATTGATAACATTTAAAAAGCAGAAATTTTTTTTTCCATATAAATCACATAAAAAGCACAAAAGTACATTCTCAAGATGTTAAGGCACTCAGGGATAAAGATCAACTGTGGTTTCTTCAGCTTAGAGTTTAGCTTTGAGCTTCAAAGACTCCTTGATCCTTTTGACAACAGAAAGGTCTCCTGCGCCCTCAGGCCAGTTGTCATGATCTGTTAAATAAGTGGAAAGCCTGCAGTCACTTCCACGTCTGTTAACCTCATCTGTCCCCTTAGTTTCCACCAGACCCACTCTGATTTTCCCTGGTTCATCCATTTTCTCATCACACACACAAAAAAGAAATCCTTCAAACAATTGTTTTCGAGAAGATCTGGACTTGAATCCCACATCTGCCATTCACCAGCTTCCCCAAATTTGGGGATGGTATTCTTCCTGAGCCTCAGTTTCCTCCTCTATTGAAGGATATGATAACATCTGTATTTTAAAATTGTGAGAGTTAAATGTGACACCGTAAGTACAGTGCTTGGCATCCTATAGATATTCAATAATGTCTCATTAATAATAATTTTTTTTTTTGAGACAGAGTCTCAAGCTGTCACCCGGGGTAGAGTGCCATGGCGTCATAACTCATAGCAACCTCAAACTCTTGGGCTCAAGCAATCCTCTTGCCTTAGCCTCCTGAGTAGCTGGGACTATAGGAGCCTCCCACAACACCCAGCTATTTTTTTTAGAGATGGAGTCTTGCTCTTGCTCGGGCCAGTCTCAAACTCATGAGCTCAAGCAATCTACCAGCCTCAGCCTCCCAGAATGCTAGGATTACAGGTGTGAGCCACTGTGCCTGGACTCCTTAATAATAATTTTAAAATAAGTGCTTACTTTGTACCAGGCACTGAACATTGCCTCCTCAGCATCTGGTCCTCTATCACCTCCTTTCAACAGCCTCTGTTGCCATTTGAAAATCCTCAGGTTCTACGGGAACCCTGGCCCCAAGGAGGGACGTGCAGTCTAAGCTAAGACAGTCAGTGCACTTCAACCCAGTGGTTGTGGTTATTAGTTGAGGACTGATATTTGCATAGCTAGTCTAAAACACAGGGGATCTCAGAATTTTGTTAGAATTTCTGGAACAAAGTCATTCGTCTCTTTCTCTCCCTCTGTCCAGCTGCATGTGAAGAAAGAAGTACCATATTTTGCTGTGTACAAGGTGCTCCCATGTATAATATGCATCCACATTTTTGACCCAAACATTTAGGAAAAAAAACTTTCATTTTAAGTTTTTTTTTTAGACATAGCAGAGTCTCACTTTGTTGCCCTTGGTAGAGCGCTGTGGCAGCACAGCTTACAGCAACCTCAAATTCTTGGGCTCAAGCCATCCTCTTGCCTCAGCCTCCCGAGTAGTTGGGACTAGAGGCACCAGCCACAACTCCAGCTATTTTTTAGGGATGAGTCTTGCTCTTGCTTAGGCTGGTCTCTATAACTCCTGAGCTCAGGCAATCCACCTGCCGCAGCCTCCTAGAGTGCTAGGATTACAGGAGTGAGACACCGCTACGGGCCCTTAATTTTTTAAAACCAAATTTTTAATTGTTTATTTTTACATACATGACTTTTATATTATAAAGGAATTTTGTAAAAATACCAGCTAGACTGTTAGCTCCCCCCTAAAGAGAAATATGCTGCTTATTTTTACATACTTGACTTTTATATTATAAAGGAATTTTGTAAAAATACCAGCTAGACTGTTAGCTCCCCCTCTAAAGAGAAATATGCTGCTCTTCCTTGGCCAAAAACATTTCCATTACAGGTTCGGGGTAAGTTCAAAAAAACTGATTACCGTATTCCAGGGTATTATTTTGCATACAGATTATCATTATTGCTTTGTAGAGTTATTATTTTAATGCATAAGCATAAATTTAAAATTAAAAACATATAGACATAGAATTAGTACTACCTATGTATAATGTGCATCCTTATTTTTCCCTCAAAAATTATGGCAAGTAAAAGTAATCATTACACACGACAAAATGCCACGTGGCTTGAGAACAGCAGGTAACCACCCAGCAACCAGGAAAGCCAGCCTTAAGATAAGAGGCAAGAGGGGAAAAACCGTCCTTGTTGGGATCACCGAGCTACCCAGAATACCTACTTTGTAGTTGTGTGAGTGAGTGCATTCCTCCCATACATGGTTGGAATTGTGACTAAAAGCATCCAATTTGACACAGGGTGTTAAATGTGCATTACCTAAATCAATCCTCCCAATAGTCCTATGATATAAACATTATTATGTGTCCCCACATTATAGAAAAGAGAAGCTTATAGAAATTAATTTTCCCAGGACAGAGCCAGGTGTCCAGCCAGGCATTCTTGTTTTGGACCTGGCAATCTCCAAATACTATACCGAAAGGCTGAAGACTCCCACCCATTATATGTGGGAGGGGGGTAGATAGTCTTAAAAG